TCTTCCTGCTGTTGCCCTGACCTTGGACAGGCCTTTTGACTTCCCTCTGCCTCTGGCGATCTTTTGTGCCCTTAACGGCCTAATTGGCCTCAATCTACCTCCTGCTGAGGCGCCACGCGCCTACTGGATTTCTTTACTTGAAGCTGCTTCCTATCTTAATAGCCGCTCGTGAACGTTCTGGCTCCTGCTGGGGCGCCACGTGCCTGATTTTTCGATTGTGCAGCGTTACCTTTGGTTAGTCTATGCCTCCTAAAGAAAAGCCATCTCCAAGGAGAGGACCCTTTCGCCTCTGTACCGCTTGCTCCAGAAAACTACCCTTCCAGGATGGGCATTCGCTCTGTTTGTACTGTTTAGGGGAATCGCACTCCGTTTCCCATTGCAGACATTGTAAGCAGTTTACGAAAGTCACCCTCAAGGCTCGCCAGCAACGTTTGAAATACTCCCTTTGGAAACAGACTCTTTCTGCTTCCCAGCCTTCCGACATGGAAGTCGCTCCTTCTACTTCATCGGTGCGGTCAGAGATTAGAGTGGTCCCATCCCCTGCTCCGGAAACATCTAAGGAGAAGCCCCCTAAGCAAAAATCTAAGGACAAACCTACAAAGAAGACTTCTTCAAAGAAAACACTTACCTCTGCATCGAATGAGTCTTCTAATCCACCGACTTCCGAACACCTGAAAAAGAAGAAAACTGCTATCAAGTCGGCACCGAAATCTAGGGAGGTTACTCTCATTGTTCCTCCGATTTTGGCCTCACTTCCGTCACCCATACTGGAGGATTCATCTCGTGACTGAGAATCCACATCGGATATGGGTACCTCTCTACCTCCCAGATAGGAACCTCCTGTCGTTCTCGAGAGGTCACCGACGGCAAGCCAGATTGGACAAGAGATTTCTGGCTTAGCCAATGCCCCTGATAGCCCTATTCTAACGGGGTGCGTGTCTAGATCCCGGTCGTCGACACCGGAATCTCAAGGCTCCAAGTCTCCACCTTCCCCACCGCGGAGACTGGTGAAGCCTATTGAGACCCCTTCTCCTTGACACCCAGTATCCGATTTGGAGGAGGAGCTTCCATCTAAGAAGACCCGGCGCCATCACAAGCGCAAGCGCGGTTCCGGGGTTGACAGGCATAGGAAACATCGCCTTCGGGATTATTCTTCCTCCAACTCCAATGACAGCGTGGAGAGGAGGAGGTCCCGCCGTCGACGTCGTTGGAGAGACTATTCGTCAGAATCTTCATCAACGTCGAGAGACTGGAGGAGGCGAAGGAGGAGAACTCGTTATACATCTTCGTCCTCGTCCTCTACTCCTCCCCCGAAGAAGCATCGACAACGTAAACACCTCGTTGTCGATAAGGATGTACAGTCGACCTCGGTGAATAAGGAGACTTCGAAGTCGATGTCATCAAAACCTGTTCCCTCTTCTACACCTGTAAGTCCTCCTCCACCTCCTGACAATCCTCCTCCCCAGAGGTCAGGCAAGGCCAGGGATGCGCCCCATCGTCCTAATATACTTCAGTCTTCTGATAATGATGGCAGCCAAGACTTTCAAACCTCATCTGACCAGGAAGACGAGGGAACTTCTGAGGCCTCCTTAGAGACACCTCTCCCAGGAGAGCCTTTGGGATCGGATGCAGCAGATATTCATCCATCCTCTCCCTCTGAGGATTTTTCATCCTACCCACAAATGGTCTCGAGGATGGCCACTACTTTAAGAATGGAGGTGGAAAAATCACCAGCTCGTGAGGATGACCTCATCTTTGGAGACATCAACAAGGAGAGGTCTCATCCTGTTAGCCTGTCTTATGTACCTGAACTTATGGAGCTTATCATGGAGTACTGGGAACACCCAGCTAATTCCACTTCTATTTCAAGAAGAACAGAGAACATGTCCCTCAACGAGACATTCTCAACGGGTACTTTGCAGTACCCAAGAGGGATGGCGGCCTAAGACCTGTATTGGACCTGAGGGACCTCAATTCTTACCTCAGACCAGACCTCGTCAGGATGGTTACTCTGGAAGGGATCATTCACCTGCTGAAAAAAGGAGATTGGTTTGTTGTGGTGGACCTCAAGGATGCGTACTTCCACGTCACAGTTCACTGGAAATACAGAAAATACCTTCGTCTGATGTTCAAGGACACTATATACCAATTTGTGGCTCTTCCATTCGGCCTATCCACTGCACCGAGGACCTTCACCAAGTGTATAGCCCCGGTGGCGGCTTACCTGCGTTTGCAAGAGATTCAAATTTACCCATACATCGATGATTGGCTGATTGTATCCAGATCCAAGACACAGGCATACAAGAACACTCAACATGTCCTCCATACCCTACAAGCCCTGGGTCTATCTATCAACTACGAGAAATCTCATTTGGAGCCCTCTCAGGTGATGGACTATATAGGAGCACGTCTGGATGCTGTACATGCACGCATGTTCCTGCCTCCAGAACGCATCCAAAAAATCAGAAAGGCGGTTCGGAGGTTCAAACCTCGAAGGACAGTGTCTGCCAGGCTAGCTCAACACCTGCTAGGCCTCATGGCCTCGACAACCGCTGCCCTGCCTCATGCGTGCCTCAAGATGTGCTCACTCCAATGCTGGCTGCTGACCTTGTTCGACCCCGCAACGGAAGTCAACACAAGCGTCTCAGAGTCACACCAGAGCTTGCAGACCAGCTTCAATGGTGGACGTTCCTTCCACACCTTCTGGTAGGAAGACCTTTCCGACCCCTGCAGATCATGAGACAGGTGACAACAGATGCCAGCCCAGTGGGTTGGGGAGCCCACTGCGAGGGCCATCAGATCCATGCACTGTGGTCCCCGCAGGAGTCTGCACTACACATCAATCACCTAGAGATGTTGGCAGTTATAAAGGCGCTCAGAGCCTTTCTCCCCCTTGTGAGAGGCAGAGCTATACAAGTGGTCACAGACAACAACACCACAATGTTCTGCTTGAACAAGCAGGGAGGCACACAGTCGAAGTCCCTTCTGTTTCTGGCTGTCCATCTGTGGGAGTGGTGCTACCAGCAACACATCTTTCTGGTAGCCATCCACGTCTCAACATCAGACAATCAACTAGCGGACGAGCTGAGTTGTCGCTCCTTCCAATCCCACGAGTGGGAACTGGATCAGGATGTGTTCCTCACTCTCTGCCGCAGATGGGGCCAGCCACTTGTGGACATGTTTGCGACCCAGGACAACAGGAAGTGCCTAATCTACGCATCCCGTGCCGGGAAAGGGGAAGGATCCCTAGGAGACGCATTTATGGTCCCGTGGAACAAAGGTCTGCTCTATCTTTATCCGTCACTGCCAGTTCTACAGAAAACCATTGTCAGAACTCTGCAGATGAGGGCAGAAGCAATTCTAATTGCTCCTTGGTGGCCACGTCGACCGTGGTTCTCCATACTATTTCAGAATGCAGTGGACAGGGTAACACTACCATTGCATCCGCAACTACTCACTCAGAGCAGCGGAAATGTTCTTCATCCAGACCTGGAGGCCCTCCACTTGACAGTGTAGAGGATTTCCCATCACTGATGGAGGTCATTGATAAGGCATGAAAACCAGCCACAAAGTTGCTTTATAAATACAAGTGGCAGAGTTTTTTGAAGTTTACTAAAGAATGCAATTTACAACCTTCGCCTGTTGCTTTGTCTACTCTCCTGCTGTACCTCCAGCATCTCTTTGATTTCGGATTGTCTAAATCTACTCTGAAGGTTTATACTTCAGCCATTGTTGCCTTCCAACCCCCGGGCTCGGAGTCATCTCAATGGTTTTCTCACCCGACACTTAAAGCCTTCTTTAAGGGTCTATGCAACATGAGGCCACCGGGGAAGAAGCCAGTTCCGCAGTGGTCCTTACAGACTGTACTACATTGTCTTACTAGACATCCCTTTGAGCCTATGGCCTCATGTGACCTTAAGTTCTTATCCCTTAAGACCATATTCTTGGTAGCCATCACTTTGGTTAGAAGAGCCAGTGAATTGGCGGCACTACGTGCAGATTCCCCATATCTGCAGTTTTTTAAAGATAAAGTTGTTCTCCACCCTGTTGTTTCATTCCTTCCAAAGGTTGTTTCAGAGTTCCACGTTAACCAGCCTTTGATTTTACCAACGTTGTTTCCTGATGCAGTTACAGATATTGAGCGCATGCTCCATTCTTTGGATGTTCGGAGAGCACTAGCCTATTATGTCACTAGAACTAAGGACTTTAGAAAGGTTCCAAAACTGTTCCTTTGTTTCTATGGTCAGCGTAAAGGGTCTGCCGCCTCACCCTCCTCTCTCTAGGTGGTTGGTTTCCACCATTTTCTTAGCCTATGAACTGCAGAAGAAACCCATTCCTGAGGGTCTCAAAGCCCACTCCACCAGAGCTGTAGCCACCTCAACTGCCCTGCTGCGAGGAATTGACATACAAGAAATCTGTAGATCTGCTACTTGGTCCAACGTGTCCACCTTTGTTACATATTACAAACTGGACCTTCGGGCTAAGAATGAGACCAAGTTTGGAAGGGCTGTTTTGACTTCATTGCTACAGTGACGGCCCACTATCCAGTAAGTGTGCTTGCTAGTCACCCACTGGTGTGGATTCATAGAGAACCACTTTGTAGAAGGACAGGTTACTTACCTGTAAACATGGTTCTTCAAGTGGATTCTCTATGAATACACACGTCCAGCCCGGCCTCCCCACATGTCTGTCACTGGTAGATGGGTTCCAACTCTCTCTATGTGGCGGGCATATGGAACTGAGCTGTTGGCGGGCAGAGCATGCGCTGTACAGGGCAACCTAAAACATTGTTACTTTTCTCTTTAGCTCTAGCAGATTCCGAGAGGCCAGCGCAGGCGCTGTCTTTACCCACTGGTGTGTATTCATAGAGAATCCACTTGAAGAACCATGTTTACAGGTAAGTAACCTGTCCTTTTAAGGGGAAACTTTTCATTTTCACTTTTGTTTTCCCCTTACCTATAAATGTAGGTTTCTTTTGAAACCTGTGAGGAGTTGTGAAAGCAACAGGACAAGATAGCACTGGACAGAAAGGAAGCCACAACACAGAAAACAAAGAAAGAACCACAGTAAGAGTAAGGGGAATTGTTTATCAAATTTTCCTGACACAGCCTTGTTACAGAATTGAGTGGGGACTTGTCAATGCCTCTTTTTCTCATCAAGTACGTACTAGTGCAGCTTGACAGCCTTTCATTTCCTGGTAAAGGGCTCTTGATAAGGAAAATACGTTATCACCATCATTGTAATTATTGTTATTATTATGCATTTATAAGCAGAACCTGGTTTTGGAAGTTATTCTTTCCTCATTTAAACCTCTGCAGAGGTCATGCAAGTTAATCTGGAAGATTATTTTAAAAATAAGCATTATATCTATTTAATTTATTTATCATATGTGGGTTGGTCATTTGTAATTAATTGTCTATTAGAAATTTCTAATCTTGCTAAGAAATGAAGACAATTATTTGGAGAATAAATAAATGTATAAATAAATAAATAAATAAATATTTTTGTAAACAAGCAAACATGAAAGGCATGTAGCACAAAGCATTTTTTATTTATCTGACTGAAAACTGCATAAATTTCTGGATCTGTATGACAGGCAATGGCACAATGGATATCTGAGCTGGTACGTTGGGTACGTGAACAAATGGAACCTGAACAACGGGAACGTGAACAACGGGAACGTGAACGACGTGAACGTGAACGACGTGAACGACGTGAACGACGTGAACGACTGGAACGTGAACGACTGGAACGTGAACGACTGGAACGTGAACGACAAAGGGTAATGGAAGAAGAGAACAGCAAAGGTGAGTGAAACAGAGGATCAAGAGCTCTTGTCTAAAAAGGGCACCATTTCTACCCAGACTTCCTGCTCAGAAAGGAAGACCAGAAAAGGGAGGAGAGCAGCAGGTGCCCCTTCCTCTTGCAAGTAGAGGAAAAATCAAGCTGAAAGGGAAGGATCTCTTTTGCTTTCAATCTCTGTCTCCCATCCTCTCTTCAGAGGACAGCGTGACTGGCGTTCTCTCCCTCCCTTGTATTCAGAGATCAAATAATAACATAAATGAATAGTTAACACGGTTAGTTACCCTGGTTTTCAAGAAACTATATTTCACAGGTGTTACTGTTTCTAAGGTGGTATTCTTTATCTGCCGGTTTTATGCATCTGTGCCAACTACGAAGTGAGCTGAGATTTTTGAAATTGATAAGAGCATGCCAATATCTCCAGATACTTGAAACAACACCACGGTGTGCATTTTAAAAGAAAAATCAAAAGTTGCACGGAATTGCCCTGTTGGGGCTCCACATTTCGGCTGAAGTCACCTGCAAGGTCCTCCCTGTGGCTCTCTTCCTCTGCTTTTCTTGTTTTCATGGTTATGTGGAGTGTTCTCTCTCCGCGAGAACTCTCTGCAGTTCTTTCAGAGATTCCTGGCCACTAGGAGCAAGGGAGACACAGCAGCACTATGTCTTCTACCCCACGGCTGCGTCTCTTGTCGCCCCACCCAGTCTTTTACTGACTCAAACACAGCACTCCTCCTGTGTCCCTGCCCTTCACCTCCGAGCTATTCTGCCTGCTGACAAAATAGTCCAAAGTCCTCAACATGCCTGGGAGGGTGTGCCTGTTGAGAACTTCCCCGTCCCCTCCCTCTGTAAATGGAAGGCCTTGTGATTTCTTTAATAATTAAGTTACCTCAGGAGTTTCCCTTTGTGTTTTGCTGCATCAAGTTGAAAAAGAAAAAAAGATGTCCCTCAGAATTTAAGATTTTTAAAACCATGGCACTATGGATAATTTGAGGAGAGGAAATCTCTACATTTCCAGGAGTATTGTAATCAATTTATAAATAATTAGCCTTAGAAAGATGGGTTTTAAGTGGGTGTTTTGTTCATCAATTTGTTGGGGTGAAAACACCTTTTCATAGTGAAGGTTCAATATTTCTGTGTGTTGCTCAATGGCATGTCCTCCTCCCCGTCTTCCTCCCCTCCCCCCCTCCCCTGCTTCATCTTCTTCTGAGATTGCCCCCAACTGTTCTGTGATGCTTTTAAAAATACGTAGCATATATGATTGCTGTGCCATGGACCTTGTTAGGTACATAATTTTTCAAAGTACAGAGGGCTCATACTTAATGCGTTGAAGCCTGCACAATTAGGTGTGTATTGAAATAGTTAAAAATAAATAAATAAAACTATTTTACAAAATACAATTTCAAGATTATTCCCCCCCCAAATATCCCCCCCTAAATATTTTTACCTCCTTAGGTGCTGACTGTATGCTGGAAAAACCATGGAGGCCGATTGATCTGTCATCTGGGTAGGTTTACGACTTGGCCTTGCCTGTGTTACATTTCATGATCATGTGCATTAACCATAGGTCTGAAGGGCATTTAATTGTGAAAATAGAAAGCAAATGGTGGCTCACGGATGGTGGGATCACTGTAGTGTCTTACCTCAGGAGAGCGCCAGTTAGAAGGAGGTTGAAATATGCCAGGAAGGAGCAAAAGTTGGCCCATGGGTTGCATGCCCAGAGCCTACATAGTACTTTCCCTCATTCTTTCCAAAGTTTCTCTGAAATTTGAGGCAAATTGAAATATCCAACGGTGCCCCCTGGGGATGGAATTGGTTACCTGGGAGCCTTTGTGCCACTCTGTCTTTCTTATGTGGGGGAAAACCCCTTTGGGCCTTCATGAAGTATGTGAGTGTGTGGGGAGGTAATGCCTGCAGATGACCAATGACTCTCCATGATTGGCATTACTGGTTATTTAAAGCCCTGGAAACCCTCCATCCATCCATCCATCCATCCATCCATCCATCCATCCATCCATCCATCCATCCAT